ACACAGTTTATTACTTCAGGGAAAGGTAACTGAGTAGTGAATGTAAGGCACATTCTGAAATAGGTGGTTTTAAGTTACCACAATGCCTTTGGGGAAATAACATAAACAAATTTTAAGCTGGAACCAGGGGCCGTCTCTGCACACAAGGGCATGTTGGGAGGAAATACGTCTCACCTAGAAAGGGACAAAGGAAGTGTCGTACTTCTTTCTAAACTGGCTTCCCCCAGACCACATTTTTATCATTTGTGGCTGGGGAATCAGAAGGTGGAAAAAAATGCTTTCCAAGATTTTGTGAGTTTCTGCACACAAGTTGAGCTAAGTAAGGAGTCAAGTGAGAGAAAAATAGCCCAGAGTTAGAGACAGGCTAGTCTCCCCTTCCTCTGCAGAAAAGCCAGAATCATTTTGCTTTCAAAATTTTATATGATTTTTTAAAATATTCTATCCCCTGTCTGATTTTTTGGGCACATAGGAAAGCTATTCTTGGTGTATTTTTATCTAGCAGCCATATAGAACATATGTATTTCTAATAGCCTTTTAAATGTGCTTGCATTGTTTAGGTGTACAATTATATTATCTGTCAATAATGATAGATTTACTTCTTCCAATCCAATTCCTATACCTCTTACTATTTTTGTTTCCTGTCTTATCACATGTAAATTATTTTGCCATTAATTAGGAATGATTATAATAGTATTGCATTTTTGTTCCACTATGGTAAGGATGATTTGAAAATGTAGAAACTAAAAGCCCAAGAAATAGCTAAATATCTGTTGTAGTAATTTACATGTGATGTGACAATGCCCTGAACAGACAATGGGAAAAAAGCAGGTAGGGACAAAATATTGATGAGCAAGACTTTAACTGAATAAATGAATGAATGAAATGGACATAAAACTTAGCTACAAGGCTTCAGTTGTGAGATAACACCAGGAAATTACCATGTCAGTCAGGATTTAGTTAAGAAACTCAAAATCACTCTAGGTAGGGATTTAAGATAAGGAATCAAGCCCTTAAACAACCATGGAAAGAACTGTAGAGAATCTCTACATAGGATCAAATGGCACTGCACTGCATAACGTGCTAGTGAATCTATGCAAGAACTGGTGGGCCCTGAATAAGGTCTGCAGTCTAGTAAACATTATACAGTATGCCACTTTCTGGTTTTGATATCATATAACAGTGATAAGATGTCCCCACTGAGGGAAGTTAGTCTGTTTTAGCTGCTTTTTATGCAACTTTTTTATTACAACTTCCCTCGAGTATATAATTATTTCCAAATAAAAAGTTTTCTTTTTAAAGGGGGCTGTGGAACCAACAGTTGATGAAAAACCATGCTGTTTGCTGGGAATGTAGAAGTACAGGACTGCTGGGAAGCCACACTAGAGGGTGTGACTCCAGGATTTCACCCAGAAACTCCTGCAAACCTTGCACCAGTTGACTGTCCTCACTCTGGCTGCAAGTACCACCAAAGAATGTCCTTCATCCTTTTCTGCCTTTCACATCCCTGAAAGTGCTGCCTGTACGGCTGACCCAGTGCAAGAGATTCTGGGAAGTGTAGTTCTGGGCTTTCAGTACCTGTTCTCCAAGAACAGAACGTCCAAAGATAACGCTAAGTTGAAAACTTATATCCCAGCTCACTGATATTTAACAGATACAATAAACTTACGATCTAGCCTTTGAAAAGGAGATTAGGAGAAGGAAATATGTCCCAGTTTTGTTTTTAAATAAAAGAAATTTATAAATAATTCAATCCGCATAGTTCTTTGATATGTCTTCCAAGGGAACTATCTCCAATCCAAAAGTATTTATGGTAAGCAAATTTTTATAGGGTTTTCCAAGGTATAAAACAATTCCACATGAGCTATCTCATTGGCCCACCAAACAATACTAGGAAAAAGATAAGAATAAAAACACTTAATAGTTACCTAGCACTTTGATGTACATTATCAGGTTTTCTGGCAACCTGCCATCAAAACTGTGCTCCTTGTAGTTCTCTAAACACAACACACTGTCTTTCCATGTCTTTGCACATGTGGTTTAGTTAGCTGAGAATGCCTTTCCCTGGTACAAATTCCTCCTGGCAGACCCTTTATTTCTTCACACCCTGTTCCATTAGGGTCTTCCTTCACCTCTTTACTGGAAGAGACTGAGGCTGATGACATGTGAAGAGGCAGCCCCAAGGAGTCCGGGGGTCGACCAGCAGGCCAGAAGTATGACAGCAGATCTGTTCCTCAGCTCTTTCCTTTCTCCACAGGCCTCATCCTTGATTAGCCAAATCTAGTACCCCATGGAAAATAGCAAGAAGAATAAATTTGGTGGTAAACAGAGGACTTAATAAAGGGTAAAGGGACCCCACTAGACTATGCTCTCAAGCATATGTTTACCAGTCATGCTTCTGCAAATGAGTCGTGTAGCTCTGTTCTGCTACTTATGTTCCCTGATTCTCCTTCCTTACTCCTCCGTGCCTGCCTGGTGGGTTCTCGTGTTAGCGGTCTCATGGCTGCAGATACTTAAGTGAGCACCACATCCCTTCCCTCAGGGGGCTTACATACCAGTGAGGAAGACAAACATTATGCAGAGTATCTCAGAAATAGAGTTACGTATTATATACAGATAGAAATACAGTTACGTAACTGTACTACAACTACTACAGCCAATAGGCAACACTGTGAAGTTTTACAAAAGGAAAAAATGGTTATGAAGGGAAAGTATAGGACAGTATAAAAGAGAGCAGGAGAGAGTTAGGGCAGGTGAAGGGCAGATCAAAGAAGGCCTCCTTGGGAAGAACACGAGTTGAGTTTGAACTGATGAGGAGGATTTATCAAAATAAGGAAGGCTGGGAGAGACTGTTCGGGGCAGGCTCTCCACAGCTGTCAGCCCAGACTCAGCGGGGACCCAGAGCGAAACCACGGAGCTTCCCTCTGCTCCCGTTCCCCCCCCTAGTGCTCTGGGTAACAGTGTCCCAACTCGAGGCGGCTAAGCTGCGAATTAGCAGGAAGGCAGAGAGGTTCACGGCTCAGAACCTAGGGCGGAGGGAGAGGTGGAGGCAGACGAGGGGAAGAGCAGGTTCCGTCATCACAGCTTACATTTGGCGCTGCCACTTAGGAGCTTTGTGACCGCAGAAGAGTCTCTACCAACCTCTCAAAGTTGTTATGAGGATGAAACGAGAAAAGGAACGAGTAGGGCCTTATACCTAGTAAGCATTCAATCAATGTCAGCTCTCTTGTCTTACTTTCTCCAGGTTCATTATGGACTGAATTGTGTCTCTCCAAAATTCAGATGTTGAGCCCTATTTATGGAGGTAATGTGACTATATCTGGAGGCAGGGTCTTTAGGAGGTAATGAAGGAAAACTGAGGTCATAAGTGTGGAGCCTTAGTCCAAAACAACGTGGGCTTATAAGAAGAGAAAGAGCACAAGAGAGATCTCTCCCTACCTTAGTCATGTGAGAGGACAAGAGACAAGAGTAAAAGGAGGCCGTCCATAAGCCAGAGCAAGGGCCCCCACGCAACCCGCATGCAGGCACCCTGCTCTCAGGCTTCCGCCTCCAGAACTGTGAGAAAATAAATGTGTGTTGTTTAAGCCACCCAATCTATAACATTTTGTTATGGCAGCCCCAGCCGGCTGAGGGTCAATTAGAAAAGTGCTCTTACAGATGATAGAGTGCAAATCTTAACTGCAATGACATTTAAAGAATGAATTTATGAAAGGTCAAAGGAAGCGAGTGGAATAATTAAATATGAGCTATATTTGGGGCTTGAGCATTTTCAAAGGTGATCCGATACATTCGGTGTGTGTGACTATTTCCAGAATAAAGATGGTCCTGAGAGTGTCAAAACTCTACAGAGGCTTTTCTATGTGGTTGAGCAAAATGCTCTCCTTGTTGTTTTCATTCTTAACTGTTGCATGATAAACAGAAGGACACTAAACTCTAAGAAATCAATCCAGTCATGGCCAGCATGGGGAGACCAGCACCAAGAGATGGGATGGCAAGGGAAGAGAAGTGAAATATACCCCTTAAAAGGAGAAGGAAAACGGGCCAAGAACCCAGGAGCCTCGGCAGTAAGTGGTGTGACAGAGGAAAGGAGAAGTGGTAGTGGTGCTACCCCACCAACAGTGCTCACTGGGAGAAATGCAGGCTGGATGCTGGATAACACAACTTCGCAGTTTTAACACCTGCAAGTGCTGATAAACACTGCCTCAACGAAGACCTCACTGGACCATCATCACAGCAAAATGAAGCAAGCATAGCAGGACAGGGATTTTGTCCCCAGGGAGGAAACTGGTTTGGAATGTTTAAGTGGGGATCCCTTGGCTGGAAAGTGCTGGATGCAGTCATCGAGCCTTGATTTTCTGATTCCAGATGCAGTGTCCTTTCTGTGACAAATGTCAAAATATGCTCCCCCTTTGCATCTGATCTTGATGTGGTTGTGCAAGGTCAAAGGTTTTCTCCACACCCCATCTCATTCCCTGACCAATATTCTTCCCCCCACAAAAAGTCACTAGATGGTCTTTTCCAGCATAGAAAATAACACTAAACAGGCTATAGGAATGGACAGAAGAAAAGCACGTAAGTCAGGCCTTACTGACAAAATCCCTTCATCCAGTGTGGCTGCTTTCAGCCTTGATGGAGCTCTTGGGCATGCGTCACCATTCCACATGACCCTGCAAAGGGTAACTATTCTCAGGACTGCCGTCTTGCAGCTGTGAGAACTGAGAGTGAGAAATGTTAAGGACCTTAGCCAGTGACATGTCTCCTACAGACTAAGAGCCAGACCTCAGACCTGCATGTCCTCCTCCCCCTCCCCATAGGGGACAGAGCTCTGGTTTGACAGCCACAGGCTCTTTGGTTCCCGTCCTTTCACGCACTTCCCACGCGATCCTGGTCGAGGCATGTACAACCCTGGGCTTCCTTTCCTCCCACCACAAACTGAAGGGGCTGGACTGGGTGGTATCTAAGAACATTCTCTTAAGTGGCTGGTAAGAAAACAATCACAAATACTAGAACAAATATTGTCCAGACTCTTTGTGTCGCCTCTCAGATGTGCTTCAGGGAGTGAGCCGCCACAGAGAGGAGGCTATTTATGTTTGTTCGTGAGGTCGACAAATACTTCTTTCAAGCTCCATCAAACCATCAGGTCTGCACGGGCCAGAGGGTCATTGCACGTCGTGGGCCTTGCCTGCCGTGCTCCCCTCTCTGTCACTGCTCGAAGCCTGGGAGGACGCTTTTGAAAGGAATCAGGAGATTACTTATCAGTCTGAAGCCCTACAGAGTTATGAGTACTGCTCACTGCCAAAGGGAAGGGGATTTTGAGTGAAAGTCCCACATCTGTGCACAGTAGAGTTCAAAGATTCCAGCTGTCGGAAGGTCTTGCGAGCAATGTAAGTAAGCAGCCCTCTCTCCCGATCGAAGTGAACTTCTTGAGGCTTTTTCCTCCCAGAGATGAGTCTTTTGGCTCACGTTGATGTTGCTCTTTCTCTGTTTTCCGTGAGGTTTGGGGGTGTTTACTGCCTGGGGCTTACTCAGTGAAGTATCTGCTCTGGGGGAATGCTTCTGCTGCACAGAGGAGAGAAAGCGAAAGTCATCAGAATCGGCTTTCTGCTGATTAGTTTTGAAAACAGCCCTTGACTAGGCAATTATGCACTTTATTGGCTATAGATATGAATCAAGAGGAATGGTCAGGCTGACACGGACATTTGTGGGTGCAGACAGAAGAGGCTCCATAGCCTCGCCCTGAAAAACAGAATTGCGCCTACGTAGTTCAAGTTTAAGGTGTTTCTTCCATTTTGATATCCTGTAGGATTTTAATAGAGGAAAAGGAAAACATTAAAGCTAGTATTGTTCTGTGGAGATTTCCCTGTAGTAGTATAAATCTTGTGCTCAATTTATTTTTGGTTACGGGTGCTGATTTATTTACTGTTTATTTTATTAAACAAATGTGCTCATCACTCCACATGGCCATTATGGGAATGAAACATTCATTGCAGTATATGAATGCAAACATCTAGACTGTGTTGGCAGACTGTGGGTTTGTATTAGTAGTAATCACATGAATGGATTGTATAACTTTATACATAATGCATTGTACTAGAGTATGTTTCTTCTACAGGTATTTTAAAGCAGACTGTGGTTAAAGACAAGGAAGTAATTGTGGGAGTATGACTAATTTAAAGGGAACAGTTTTGTTTTGATCAACCTTTATTCCATGGGACCTACAGTCCCTTGACCTAGCCCCAGGGACCCAAGGGTCCTTTTCCAGGGTCCCTCATCAAAACCCTCTAGCCGCAGAAAACTTATGTCCCAAGATCTACATTCTGACTGAAGCTTCTTCAGACTATGCATCCCCCAATGTGTCCTGAGTCCTAATTAGAATAGTAAGACCTTATATCCTCAGCCTAGGTTGTGTCTCCTGACTCCCTAGAAAGCTCCCTAAATCCAAGAATAAATGCCCTCAGTTCTAGTCGGTATGTGACTTCCTTTCTTTTTGAGAAAGTTTGGTTCACGCTTTGAGGTTCTGTGAGGATGACTGGTCTTGTTCCTAATAGGTTAATAACCATGAGCACATGTGTAAGGCAGGCACGCTAGCAGGTCAGGAGGTCCAGGAGGAATGGAATTTTAGGAAATAGGAATTCATAACAGCCTGTTACCTGTGTAGCCCTCCGTTGAGCAACTCATCTCTGCTTTTAGTCTGAGATGATCGCTAACCTTTCACCATCACTTAAATATAAATTATATGCCTAATGTACTGAAAGCAATTAAAAATCAAATGCTTCTTTTCTGGTATTAACATGTTTGTAGTGTATGCAGCCCACGCGAGCTTTCATTTTCATGCGACGTAACTAAATAGGCCAGGGCACTGGCTGTCGGCCATGTGCGATGCAATGGGTTATAAAAGGGAGGGATCCATGTTCAGGATGTGAAAGGAAATTATACATATATTGGGAAACATTTACTGAGCTTTTGCCGTGCACTTGGCCCTCTGCCACCATGTCTCATGTGATCTTAGGGGCAGGCAACTCACTGGTTAGGAGCCAGGACTCTCCCTCCAGCCAGAGCCCCTGGGGGCACCGCCCAGACTGGCCTCTTTGTGATCCGGGGTAGGTTAATTAACTCCTCTGGGCTTTGGTTTCCTCACTATGAAATAAAGGCAAAAATAGCAGGGTTCATGTGAGGATTGAGAGTTAATGTAAGTAAAGAGTTGTTTTGTTTCCCATATGAGAAACTGAGTCTAGGGATAGTGAAATAATGTATACTCGGCCCTCCCAGGGATGGCTGGCAGGGCTGGGATTTGGGAGTAAATGATCTGGCTTTATCATAATGGGGAAAGCCCACGTTTGTAGCCCCTGCTTCCTTAACCCATGTCGCTGGGTTCTTTGCCATGCACCCCTTGACCCTGCCCACATGATGGCCTTCTAGGTACATAGCATTAGCCGTTGACGGTGAAGATTTCAGACAAGGAAACTGAAGCTCAAAGGGCGTGAGCTAACCAGCCCAAAGCCACATCCTTAGAAATTAGCAGGGCTGGGAGCTAAGCACAGGCTTTCCAAGGCCGGTTCGATGCTTTTTCCAAGCCCCCAGCTCTGGAACGGGTCAGGCCTGTACTGCCCCCTGCAGGGGAGCGTGAGCTTGCGAAGGACGACTGCGCCAGCCATCAATTAGCTTCCGCGCCCTGCGTGGCCCAGCGCCTCATTAATGAAAGCAGGTACCTGGGCCCTTTGCGTGATTCTCCAGGGGATTTAGATGTGCATCAAAGTTTGACAGTCACTATCGTCAGCCTGTTCTATAATCTGGGGAAAAGTGAAGATTGCTGCATCCCACAGAAGAAGCTGAAAAGTTCCGTTAAGGATAAGAGATTGGGCATTTCCCCCATTCAGATTTTTGGACTACCCTGTGGTCAAAATCAACACTAGTTCAGAATTATTTACTGTCATGTTTATATCTCAGTGTGCTTTCTTCATCTTTTGGCATGTGCCGCCTTCTAAGCCCTGTGACCATCTAAACTTTCTGTCACCAAACCCTTCGATTGCATCAGGCTTCAGGGATCAGCAAATGGGTAGATTTCTTTCCCTTTGCAGACTTTTTACTCCCTAAATCCGTACAACTTAGTGGGATTCACCACTACATTAGAATAAAATGAGCTGTATCTATAATATGAGACATTTACTCCATAAACTTTACACCGAGAAACCAGCACCATGGAGTATTTACTGTGTTGAATAAAATATAATCAGACTGATTTCTCGGGAGATCACTGCAGCACCACAGAAACACGCCAACAGGGGCATGCCAGACCATGTGCTGGGGACTTCAGAGGCCTCAGAAAGAGGTCATGGAGGGCGTGGTGGAACAGGAACCACTGAATGTTGGAAATAATTTCCTGTGGTGGCAAATGTCAGCATTTGAAATGAAAATATCCCTGGCTTTGAATTCTCGCCTCATCACTTTCCAAATATGGTGCTGGCTTCTCCAGCATATGTAAAAGACATAAACAACTCAGCATAGCACCTACCAAAATAGGTGTCCGATGAACAGGAGTTCCTTTCCTCCTAAGCTCTGATCCAGAAATACTTATAGAGTACCTACTATGTGCTGAGGATTATTCTAGATAGAGCAGAGAATAAGAGCCAAAGTCTCTGCCTTCATACCTGTAGAGGGAGAGATGATAGAATCATAAACCAGGATATAACTTCAGAGACTAAGTGCTATAAAGAAAATAAAATATGGCAATGTGATAGAGTGACTAGCAGTAAAATGATGGAACTTCTTTCAGCACTGAAAGTCTGTTTGCGATTGTGTTTCCTTGTGCTAGTATCACATGCTGTGAGGAACTATATGAAGAGAAGAAAAAAAAATCTCTGAACGAAACTATACTCAAGTTATTTCATTCTTTCATTCCATATTCTGGGTTTTCTCAAAATGTTCTTCCTCATCAAAGATAAATTCATAGGTCCTAAGTGAATGAAAATTAATTAATGATTGTTTTTTAAAAGTTCTAATCATCACAATTTCTAGGGATTACACTGTTGGAGAAAACAAGAATCACCACATGGCAGATTTTAGGGATGAATTGGGAAGCTTTGCAATGACTTCATGTGTGGCTTCGAGTCTGAAATTGTACATATGTTAGTGCAGCCAGCTTGCAAGCTGCCAGAAGCCGGCCGATCCAGCACTCTGCTAGCCAAGAATCATGTGTGTGGCTCTAAAAAATAATCTGTGGTCTGAAATGTTTCCTTTCTTAACATGGTGCAGCAGATCTCACTTGGGTCTGAGACAGCGTCTCTCCAAAGTGAAGGTCACAATGCAGATAACTTGTACCAGAGGAGTCTTGGTCTCTCAATCAGCCAAATATTTGCGGCCAGAATATTCTTGGCTGTAACAATCCAGATGATTGTCTCATTACTCCATTTTGCCTTTATCCTTATAGTGTAAAGTCCAGTGAGGGGATCCACGACTTAGAATGAGAATTTTGTGTGCATGGCCATAGAAAACGCACAAGTCATTGTTTTCGATTTTGAAATGATGGCTGTTTTATGCTTAATTTAGAAAAATGTGATCTCTCCAAATCGCAAACACATTTTTAGAAATTGCTTTGAAAATAAGGTCCAAAGTTAAAATCCAAGGACTGAAAAGTAAGAGCAAAGAGAATGAGATTAGGACATTGAAGTTAATTAACCAGTAGTAGGGAGAGTTGTAGGGGAAGTGGATGGTGCCCCTTGAGCTCTAAAGGCATTCCTCCCAGAGAGTGGTGGCCACCTGCTGCCCAGTGGGGAGACCAGGGAGGGGAACGCCTGTTGTGCATTTGCTTTCATGGCAAGTACAATTCCCAGCATCTTATATACATCAGCTCCTCACTGGGGCCCTCGTGTGGTGTGGCTGTTACTCTACTTATTTTACTGATGAGGAGCTGAGTGGGGCTCACGGCAGTTAAGCAACAAGGAAGTTCAGTGAGTAGAGAGCTGCACCTTGAACCCAGACTGCCTGACTGTGTAACCCACTGATGTTCCACTCTATCACTCCACTTTAGAAAAATATGGGCTGTTTTTTCCCCCACATGCAATATACATTCTATTCAATTTAAGAAAAAAATTGCAAGTGTTTAAATGTTGAAATGGCCTCCTGAGGGAAACGGCTGAGGAGGTGTCTAGTTGTCTTCTTTGGAGGTCTATTAAAACCAGATCGATTATCATATATGTCTGGTATGACTTCAGTGTGGTCCTTCCCCAAGGCGGAAAGATAAACACAATGATTCCTCAAGTTCCTTCCGGGTTTCCCCCACCAGTTGCCAGGTCTACATCCATGCAAAGCAAAACAGTGTTGGTGCGGGGATCCTCCATCCTACTGTCCCTTCCCAGCTCCACGCTGATCGCTTTGACTGACGTGA